CAGTTTCAAGAAGAGGGAACATAGACCTCATCTCTTAATGATAGGAGTGTCCAGCCTCATTGTGGAAAGGCATGAGAGATAGGAGGTAATGTGGTCATCTTTGGAGAGAAGTCTGTCACAAAACAAATCCATGTCAACAGATCCCCCATTCCGTAACCTTTTGTCTCAGTCCCTTCTTTTTTTTATTTTTTGAGACAGAGTCTCACTCTTGCCCAGGCTGGAGTGCAGTGGCACGATCTTGGCTCACTGCAACCTCTGCCTCCCGGGTTTAAGTGATTCTCCTGCCTCAGCCTTCTGAGTAGCTGGGACTACAGGTGCCACCACCATGCCTGGCTAATTTTTTTTGTGTGTGTGTGTGTGTGTGTGTGTGTGTGTGTGTGTTTAGTAGAGACAGTGTTTCACCATGTTGGCCAGGATGGTCTCAATCTCCTGACCTTGTGATCTGCCCACTTCAGCCTTCCAAAGTGCTGGGATTACAGGCGTGAGCCACCGCGCCCGGCCAGCCCCTTCTTTTTTACTTTAGCTAAGCAAATTCTAGTAATTTAGTTTTTACCCTTTTTTTGCATGATGTTTTCATTTAAGTATGCCTGTATACACATATGTAAACTCGTTCCTCATCTGTTTTTGCCTGAATATGTTGTGGTGGTTCTTTTTATTAGTATTAAAAAGGGCCTGGCATGGCAGCTCATGCCTTGTAATCCCAGCACTTTGGGAGGCTGAGGCAGCTGGATCACTTGAGGCCAGGAGTCCAAGACCAGCCTGGCCAACATGATGAGACCCCATCTCTACTAAAAATACAAAAATTAGCTGGGCATAGTGGCACATGCCTATAATCCTAGCTACTCAGGAGGCTGAGGCATGAGAATAGCTTGAACTTGGGAGATGGAGGTTGCAGTGAGGTGAGATTGCACCACTGCACTCCAGCGTGGGCAACAGAGTGAGACTACTTCGCAATAAATAAATAAATAATACTTAAAAAGAACCCATCATCTATTAGGAAAATCAAATTCTTTAAAGAAAGAAGATTCATATCTAATTCACATTCTGGTTTGCATTTGCAGATCAAATACTGTAAGCATTTCCTGAAAAATGACAATGATAATTTATTCTTTTCCTAAAGTAGCCCATGAATAGTGTTGAAAAACAATTCAAAACAGGCTTGGAAATGATTTGCTGTTGACCTGGGTGTGTTTTGCGTTGACTGTTTTATACTTTAAGGACAACCCTATTAAGCATTCATTCAACTAATATTCGCTGAATACTGTGTCAGCTGTCAGGTTTACATTGGCAAATGGAGCCAGACATGGTCCTCCCCTCATGGAACATGTCATATAGTGAGGAAGATGGGCATTAATTAACACATAATCACCAAATAAATGTGAACTCACAACCTTATTAAATGTTATAAAGGAAAGGAACTCTGGGAGTATCTGATGGTGAATCCTGACATAGTCTCCTGTGATGAAGTGCTATTTTGGCAGAGATCTGAAAGGTGGAGACATAATCCTCCCAAGAGACACATGAGTGTGTGTGTCACATCCCTGCACAGATCCATGTACAGACATCTGTGGATACACATATTCCTAGTTTGCAGACATTTGTAAGAAAGCAGTCACTTCTGCTGCCATTCTGTTAAGAGACCACATAGCAGGTAACCTCTCGAAAAGCATATGTTCATACAGGCCTTACAGAGCAGAGGTCTAAGTCAGCCTTTGTCATTTATGAAGAAGTACTTCATTTTGAATAATAGTGATCACGGTAAGCAAGTACAATGGATAGAAGGGATAAAGTACAAAAATAGTTTTCCAAGTATGGTCTAGTGGACCCTGGAGTCCCCAAGACCCTTTTGGGGTATCTGTGAGGTCAAAATGATTTCTTTCCTTTTTTTTTAAATAGAGAATGCAAGCCACAGTTTCTGTTCTATAAACACAAACTTTTGTATTATAAATACAAAATAAGAAAAGATAGTGATATGTTAGCTGTTATGAAGGGTGAAAACTTTATATAAACTTCAAAAGGCTGCTTTCTGCATCTGCATCAATGTAATTTCATGATTCTCTACCAGTTTCATTTATAGAACGAATCTCTGTAATCAAATTATTATTCGTGTTCGTGTCCCCCATATCTGTAGGAATACAGTTTATTGTCTGCTCCTCTACTCGAAGAAGCCCTGTGTCTGTCTAGTCTGCTCTCAGAACTTTGTCTTCATGAGCAGCCACATCATAGAGAGAAGCCTTACAACTTCTTGAATCCCACAGCTTGACAGTGTTATATAAGGATCCTGAAATCAGCTGTGGTTCATGGGTAGGAGACCATTGTACTGATGTCTCCCAACCTGCATGTGAGGTTAGGGACGCAACATGAAAGAACCATCTTTAGTTTGGGGATCCCACAGTCTGATATACCTATCTGTGCTTCCAGATGCTAAACATTTACAAAGTGGAGAATAGGAAATACAATTAAACACTTTATTTCCTGTAAAGTTGACTTAAGATTGCCAAACATGACATCCCACACACTAATTGTATGGTCCCAAGGTACACTGCAGATTTCTTCAGCATCTGACCACATCACTGAGGAAATTGCTTCCTTGTGGCCAGAGAAGGTCACTATGGGAGTCCTTGTTAGTCCCAACTGCTCTGTTTTCTGTTTCTTTCTTGGTCAATTTGTGGATTCCTCCATTTCATCTTCTTCTGTAGGGACTGTAGACCAGATCCTTAGCATCTTATCCCAGGAGCCACTGCAAAATTTAGTTGCTGAGCTATCAATAGCTGTAGAATCTATACTTGTGCCGCAGTGTAGGGTTTTCACTTTGTTTCTCTCAACATTCCACTCCCATGTGAGAATAGTCTGATCCATAGAGGCACTCAGTAATAACACAAACTGTGTTTTATCACCCAGGCCATATCTTTTACAACATCCATGTGTCCCACAATTGTCAATGTTGACTTTCCTTCCAAGGACCAGATCCAAACCAGTCAAGATCCATACCTCTGTCCCTTAAATTGAACTGGTCCAGTCATCATGGACACATCATTCTGGGTGGGGTGCAGTATACTTCTCCGCGTATTCTATTTCCACAACTTCTTCTAATGAGATGTTCTCCTGTTCCATGTGTTTGACCAAGGGCATTCGCAGAAACTGATCCTTAAAAAGGAAATCAACTCCATATATTTTTGGAACTCATTTCTGTCCTTTAGTAATTTATTGATGATGTTAGTAAAGTCATCACTTTCAGAGACAGCAGTGATTGAGAAGGGAACATCATCAATGGCCTATTTCTTGTGATCAGTGTAGAAGTGTGTTTACAGCTGAGCAATGGCAGGGAGTGCACACAAGACTTGGCCACAGAAACATATGGGTTAGTAGGCTGAGAACGGGAGCTCCTGTATCTTAGGACTACAAAGAGACAGCTCAAAATTACACTGCACAGGTAAGCGAGAAGCTGCAGTCTAATCTCGGACTTTGCTTTCTCTCCATAGGTCTGCTCCTGATTTTCATAATAACACTGAGATATGATTTGCCTTTTTCTCATTCCTTTTGACACGAGTGTCAGTGTTTTCCAGAGACGAGGTGGTGTGATTGGTGTGATTTATCTCAACAGATTGAATTCAGAAGCATATATGAAAATTCAGCTATCTATTAAGCCAGACATTAAAAGCTTTGCAAAAATGTGAAAGAATGACATTCTTGTTAAATTTTTTTTTGGTTTTGGAAAATATAGTTAATTTTCATAATGATGTGTTATTTATGTTAACATGTAAAGGGTTTATTAGAATGAATTTAAAAGTATTTCTAAAATTTCTGTTTTAACTTAAAATATGGCATTTATCTATAGGGATAGCCCACATAAAAGTTTTTTTGGGGTTTGCAATAATTTTTTTAAAGTGTAAAGGAGTTTTGAAACCAAAAAGTTTGAGAATGACAAATATGGCATTCAACTTGACTTTAAGCATGTTACCTAATCTCTCTGAGACTGTATAAAATGGGGGCGATGATCAAAGTACTTCCCTCATAAAAGGATGAAAGGAGTTCATACATGTCATTTGCTCTTAACAATATATGGCACAGAGTAAGTATTCAATATATATTAGCTTTATTATCATGTTTAATATGAAAGCAAAACTCCCTGAACTCCAAACACTACTGAAGCGCAGTCGAAGAATTCTTGCTTGTTTTTGGAGCCATCTGTATTGTTTTTGTAAAACAAAATATTCCAAAGGGAAAGAAATAGGACTTTGTGATTTTTCTTTTGAATTGAGATATAACAGGAGTTTTTATTGGCAAATGATCAGGGTGTAGAAGCTTGAAGCGATGTAGATTCAGAATACCTTGAGGTGCTTTTTCACACCCCATTCCTGCTGCACTCCTCAACTCTCAGCCTTATAACCAAGGTTCTGCTATGTTCAGAGTGACGGAAAACAGGTGGGCAGATCTGGAAAGCTCGTTTGGAAATTTCCACAGAGACCGTGGTGGACTTCGGGGCTCCAGTGTCCTAGACCCAGAGCCGAAAGGGAGGCTCACAATAGGGGACATCTCATTCAGTCCCCACACTTTTCAGATTGAGAACCCAAGACTCAGAGCAATGATTGGCTCACAGTGGCTCACCCAGCCTGAGAGAGACCTAATCAGGACAAGAACCAGAGTTTTCCTGATTTGTAACAGAAAGGATATGAGGCTTAGAATCAGAACTGTTTTTAGTCTCAGTCTAAAGCCTTAATTGGTTGTCTGATATTAAGCAGCTTGTTTATATCTGATACTCAGTATTCTTATTTATAAAATGGAGGTGAAAATATCCACCATCCCAGAGTTGTGAAAAAGATCAAATAAGGCATCGCATGAAGGTCCTAGGACACTTTGTTTGAGTTGGTATCTTTCCGGGCCTTTGCGTGTAAAGTCCGTAGAGAGAACTTCTCAGTGAAATAAACAGTTCTTTTCAAAAGTGCCTTAAATATTGTGCTTTGTGGCTTTGTAACATTCTCTTTTTTCTGTCTTTTTAGGACAGCCCAGAAACTTGCAGGACCTGTGCCGAATTAAAATTCGACAATGTATAGGCCTTCAAAACCTAAAGCTACTTGATGAACTACCAATTGCCAAGGTCATGAAAGACTACTTAAAACACAAATTTGATGATATCTGATATACCAGAACTGTGAGCAGGATTAGGAGTTATATTCCAGATACTTAAAAGGCTTTTTGCCTTGCACAAAGTATATCCTATGCAATTTCTGATTTGCTGTGAAATCAGAAAGCAGGTATACACTTTTGGGTTTTCTGTTTGTTTGGTTGGTTTTCATTGTAGGGAAGGGATTTTTTTATATATATATAAAAACACACACCACATGCTTGAAGGTCTTAATTTGGTTTCTTGGTCCAAGTTTAAGAGGTCCAAGCTTTGTATACAATACTGCATTTAGAAAAATTGTCTTTTCTTAAATGACACAAGCAGGTTTGGAGTGGAGAATTTACCGTTTCCAAATTTATGGTTTCCTTGGTAAGCACGATATTCTAAACCAGCAGAGCACTTGTTAATGTTTGGAGGCACAGTTTCACCCAGGGGGGCCCTGGGTTCTTCTGGAAAATGCCCTAAGAAATGTTTAAAGTAATGCTGTCACCTCATTCATTTTTAATGAGTACAAATTGGCCGTTTCAAACTGTTCTTTTTCCTAATTGATGTAGCTTTCGGATGACATAAATTCAGTATCTCTGCTTTTCTTTTGGTGTGCTCTTGTTTTTAACTTTTTTTTTTTTTTAACAACTGTAGTACACTACCCTGAGACATTGTGTCTCGATTTCTATCTCTAGTTAGAGTTGTGCTTTTAAAAAAATTAACGGGAAAGAAACTAACTTTAATTGAAGCCAGTGTATTCTGTTTTTAAAACTGTGCCTGCAGTGCAATACTCTTTCTGGTGTATTTTATCCATTATTTCACTTGCTGGTCATCATTTCACAGCCAGCTTTGACATGCCCGTGAGAACAGGAGCCGCCACTTTAATTTTCATGGCAGAACCATAGTATGTCAGTTGCAATTTCCATTTTAAGCTATGTCTTTTACTTCACTTTAAGCAGAAAATTTTGTATCCTGGTGGTAGAGTCTTCCCTTAAAAATTGTTAAATCATTTGGCTTTAATGGTTCAATAATTTGGAATGGCTTCATGGTGTTTCTTTTTCTCCCAGTTTAAAAAAAAAAAAAAAACTTTTTAAGGGTAAAATCTTTAAGGGGTACACATTTGTAAGTCTGGCTAATTTCTAATATGCTAATTAAACATTTCCTATTTTAAGGTTATATACAGTGAGGCTCTTCAGGACAATTATTTTCTGGGTTGATTGGGCATTTGTTTGCTGTGTAAACACGGATATGATAAGTGTCAGTAACAATGGAAAAGGTCCCAGAGGCATTAGGCATCTAAGATGATGCCCTCAGAAATGTATTCTGTGCTTGATTTGTGTTATTAGCTTCAGAAGAACCTTTTCAAATGTCCCAGTATCGTTTTTAGTGCTTTGGGAAAAAAATATTCACACACTGTTAATAAATTTGTTATCAGAAGTTTACAAGACGAAGGGCTTCTCTCATCTGAATTTCTAGATTTAAGTCATAAAGCGTAAAACTGTTTCACCCAGAAGTGTAACTAAGCAGAATTAGGAGTTGTCTCTGGCTTTACCTTTTTCAGAGCCAGCAGTGCTGTTTTCTCAAGCACAGCGTTTGTTCTCTTGGGTGCAGAGTAGTTGTGGCATCTTACACTCGATCTGCTTGTGCCTAGGCATTGCACAGGTTTCCAAAGACGGGCAGCTTCAGAAAAAAGGATTATTCGGGAGATTACTGGTGTGACCCATAGACTCTTTGGCATAGACTGTTTCGCAGGCAGCCAGTCTGAGTGTGGCCAGTTCTATAACCATCCCCAAACTAGCTGGAGCCTGATGGATAGGAACGAGTAGTCTGTCCTTTTTCCCATAAAAATATTCCAAAAATTTATCTCCAGAGAAAGTCCCCTGTGAAGACAGTTGCCAAGCTATATTCTCATTCTTTAAACCAATACCCAGGTCAGGGCTAGGACACACTAGCAGTCTTAGGGACATGGTGTGGCTAGAAATGAATTGAGTGTGACTTCTCCCTAAAACCCCAGGCCCAGGGATGTGAGGAGGCAGAGGGGTGCCTGGAGTTTCTGCACTCTAAGCAGTGATGTTAATGTTACACTTGCACAGAGCTTATTTCCACGTATGTGTGTGTTAATTTATTCACCTAGTTTAAAATGATTTTCTCTCCCCAGCCATTCAGAGGTTTCCAAACTAAGCCACTGAGTTTGAGTCAGGGAATTCCAAGTAAAAAAAGATCAGATTAAGGTAAATTCTTTGTTCTGTATTGCTGCTGTGACTTCAGAAAAAAATTATGAGAGCTCTTCCTGGAATTTTGAAATTTCTATTTAATGAAGAAGTGTATAATTCCATTATTTATTGTTTGAGGTTTGATTTATCTGGAAGCTTAAAAAGAATGTTTTATTTTTGTTGTTAATAAAATCCCAATCACATTTCACAATAACTAAAATGTCTCCAAGTGGGTTACTGGTAGATTATAGTGGTGAAACCTGCAGGTCTGCATTTGAATTGGATTGACAGAGAAGCATTCCGTGGTCACATAATGAATAGGGAGAACAGAACTTTTCAGAAAAATCAACTGATTGTTTTTTCCAGAAGACAGAACAGAAAATGTTCAGAATATTTTCAAATTTGTCAGATTCTTTTATGTTTCCTTTGAAATTTATTATTTAAGCCTATTACTAAACCTTTATAAAAATATATTTGGCAAATACACCAAAGAAACCAGCTCATAAAAGATTATGATCATTAATGAACTGTAAACCTCATCTTTCGAAAACAAGGTTTTGTGTTTTGTTTTTTTTGTAAATATTTGTGTTTATAAATGTACAGCAGAGTAAGAGTGTTTTTTAGATTATTTAATTCCCATATTTCTAAACTATTTACTACACAGTAATCCATGCCTGTTAGTTTGGAGGACTTGACTGTTTCGTTTTTTAATTCATTATCAGTCATGCTTGGAACAGCATTTCCACTAGAGAATTCAGTGTTCTGGCAGTAGCAAGAGTGCACATCTGGAGCATGAGGGAGTCTAGCATGATTTGTCAGATGCACACCCTAAGAGACGAGAATGGGTAGTTTAATGACCAGCGTGGACCATACGAAATCGAGATTCTAACTTTCCTGCAGAAGTGCTCATTAGCCCAGAATGTGATTGGGATAAGGCCATTTGCCCACAAATTTAGCTTTCATGTAACTCCTAGTGTGTTATATCATAATGTATTTTGTTCTTCCTTTTTAATGTAAGTTTTGCTTTGGGTCAATTTGAATTAAAAAAAAATCAAATCTGATTTAAAACATGTTGGAGTTGTATTTTATTTCCAGTCTACCTTAACTTTTTAATATGTCCAGCTATTTGGTGAAAATAAATAAAACTCTGTCCTTCCTTCATCAGCATTTTAGATCACTGGGAATTGTTTAAGAATATGATGATGCAGAAAACAATACCACTCTACATTGTCACCAGATAAGCCATTTCTTACCCTCCTTTAATTTGTTTAATGCATTCTGCAAATACCAACCAACTAAAGATTATCACAGTGTTGAGTGTATCGATCCAGCACTGAGCTTTCTTGGGCCGTAATCGCCACCTACCTCACGCGTGTCACACCTTGACTGAGGACAGGATTTAGACCACAGCGTTTCTAAACGTAGGACAGTATGCAGTCAAAGCAATGAATCTGACGGAGTTACCCTGCAGGGGATGAAGCAAAACAACTTTGATTTCACATTTCCTCTATAAAACATAAACACAGCTTGATTCAGGAGAGACCCAAAGTGAATATGAATGATGGTGTGCTAAGAGAAAGGGAAGAGGGACTGCTTAGCACCCCATGCAGAAGTGGGATGTTTTGGAATTATAATCTTGTTGCAGCCTTGTCCAGGGTTTGGCACGAATGAAGGCCAAGAATAGGACATTTGAAACTATTTCTAATGATCAGCAGGGGAGTTCAGCTTTGAAAAATTGCTGTGTTGCTTGGAAACCTTGAGATCATTCCTTTTCCAATATGATAGAAGTAGTGTATTGTTTTCTCAGCTGAAAGACAGTTTACAAAAATAGTTTACAGCTATTGATAAAACATTATCTACTTGATAAAAAAAATAGTTCCACATCTCACATATTTGGATATCTGAGATGAAAGAACATGGATTTGTATCCTCTGCCTGTATTTATGTAACTTAATGTAACTGTGTGTGCTTAACTGAAGGAGTAAGAGTGAAGTTTTACAAGTTTTGATGATAGAACTCAACATACTAAGATACAAAGATAATTTTTCTTTATTCTATCTGTAGTTATTTTGTTATTACCTATTAAATGAAACAAAGGTTCAGACAGCATATGGCCAACTGGATCTCATGACTTCTCTTGTATGCCCCTGACAAATAGTGTTCCACTCTTTGTAATATATTTCCTGAAGACCGTGGCTCATTTGATGGATATTTCCTTATCTTCCAGAAGAACGCTATGATTCCTGAGTGACAGTCAACATTCTGAATCACATTTGAAAAGACTGAGGTGATTTGTGTATGGACTATGAAAGATCATCAGTGTGGGAGTAAAACCCTAAACTAGCCCTGTTGCCCCAGTGCTTGGTCTCACTGTCCTGAGCGAGTATCTTACACTAAATGATTAGATGTGATCTTTAAGTCTCATTCATCCAGCTATGCCTAGAGCACCTCGTGCTGCTTTTCAGTTGTGTATCTGCAAGGCAAGGGTTTGATTCATTCTGACCCTTAAACCGTTGGAAGTAAAGGATCACATTCAAGCACAGTATTTCTCTTCTTTCGCAGATGTGACCTTTTAAAAACGTCATCATTTGTAGTTATTGTAAGTTTATTTTATTTTATTTTATTTTAGAGACAGAGTCTCACTCTGTCACACAGGCTGGAGTGCAGTTGGCACAGTCTTGACTCACTGCAACCTCTGCCTCCCGGGTTCAAGTGATTCTCCTGCCTCAGCCTCCCAAGTAACTGGGATTATAGGTGTGCTCCACTACGCCCGGCTAGTTTTTGTATTTTTAGTAGAGACAGGGTTTCACCATGTTGGCCAGGCTGGTCTCGAACTCCTGACCTCAAGTGATCCACCCACCTCAGCCTCTCAAAGTGTTGGCATTACAGGCGTGAGCCACCATGCCCGGCCTGTAAATATATTTTCAATCTTGATTCCAGTATCTTGAAAATCTCACTTGGAACCTTTATGTTTCCTTTTTATTAGAACACTGTTTTAAATTAAAAGTGTAACGTTATGTTACATTAAGAAGTAATGAAGTTATTCACTTTTTTGCGAAACTAGTTTATGAATCAGAACAGAGATGGCTGAATTTGGACAATGACATTCAGTTTAAGTTGAGAAATTTGGTTATGTGATGAGTAGACTGACACAGAAGTACTCCAGCTGCAGAGATTTCCTATTTTATCTGGCAAATGTAGTCATATTTTTCTTGCTGCTCAGTTTTGAGCTAATGTTGCTTTTCTTCCTCTAATAGTTTCAGGTCAGGTCACTTCTTAGTTTTCTTTTTCTTTACCAGAAAAAAGAACAGTTGTGGGGCATGGACTTACTGTACATGACCATTTTAGATTTCTCTAGAGAGTTTCTAGATTTTCCCTCTCTTCATTCT